ACAGAACGCAGGAATGCAGTTTGTCTCTCATGTGCTGAATTAAATCCTTTATAAGGAAGACATCCTTTGAGAAAGAAGATGCTGCAGGAATGTCAACATTTTGGCATTTATTGGGTAAAGAAGATCAACTCTTGTAACAAATGCTATTAAAATAACATGGAATATTTTTTCTTTTTCTTTTATTTTGTATCAGTATGAGATGAAGGGTGTTTACTAAACTTATTGTGGTAATAATTGAATAAGGTATATAAGCCAATTCATTATATTGTATACCTTAAACTTGTAGACTGCTGTATGCAACTATGTCTCAAAAAAACGGGAATAAGAAACAAAATTATATAGAACTGGAAAAAATAGCATTGAAATGAGAGTTGGCAAGGTCACGTTATGATGCAGAAAAACAGTGCTGTGTGCTTCAGATCAACTGGGCAGACATAGGCTGGTGAACCATGTCCACTAGCAGGCGGAAATAGAATGCCCAAGCTTTTTTATAAAGAAACTAAGATATACTAATTGCACATTCAAGTGGACATAATGAAAAAAATTTAGGCATTAAATTTGTTAATATTTTAAATACATATATACATAAATTCATAGAATAGTGAAGAATATTGTCTGAAGAGTAGTCCTTCCTCCACTCCCACTTCCCAAGCTCCAGTTTCCATACTAAAGCAACCATGGTTAGCAGTTTTTTGTGTATTTTTCAAAAATATTCTCTACATACACAAGCATCATGTACAAAATCCTTATTAAATAAAATGACAACATATACTACACATGGTTCTGCACCATTCTTCTTGAATGTATCATAGAAATAATTTCATGCCAGTACATCATTTTAATGCCATGCAGCATTCCAAAGCATGGATATAACATAACTTATTTAACCAGTTACCTTTGGTAACTTCTTAGATCATTCTCCATCTTTTGCTATTACAAATAATACTGCAACTGGGTTATTGTCTGTATAATGTCAAGCATATGCGAATATATGTATTCTCCTGTCTTCACATGCCAAGTCCTGATTTATGTTTACTATGCAATAGTTAAATAAATGGGGGAACGTAACCAAATAGCATAGTGGGCAGAGTAATACTAATAACTGCGAATGTTATTTACAATGTAGTAAGTACTTCATAGTAGTTGTTTCATTCTTACAATTCTATGCGGAAGTTGTTATTACTATTATTGTTGTTGTTAATTATTCAGGTGAGAAAGCCAGCATCTGAATTCCCCCAGAAGCTTGACTCTTGAGCCCTTGTTCCTACTTACTGGGCTGTGCTGCTTCCCGGTGATTCCCTTGCTCCTGTAGCAACGACAGAGCATTTACTGAACATCTACTATGTGCCAGAGAGCTGATAGGTATGATTTAACCACAATGGCATTACAAGGCGGTGTTGTTTTTTAACAGAGTCTTAATAAGGTTTAGGAATTTGCCCCTATCCCATGCCTATGAGGAGCCAGGAATGGAATGGAAACAGGGCATCTGACTCATGAACTACACAGCACAACAAAGAATGGAATTCAGGCCTTCAAGTCTATGTTCAGCAGGCCAGAAGGCAGAAATGAAACGAATGGACCTGCGAGAGTTAATTAAACATGTTCAGGTGATCAGAGGGATTAGGAAGGCTGTTGGAAGGGCCAGTGGAAGATGTTTTGGGGCACATGGATAAAAGCACCTGCAGCTGATTAGGGCTGAGTGGTCTGTATGCATCTACAGTGGTCACTTCTGCATGGTTCTCCGTGGACAGTGTTTCCAAGTCTAGATTGCCTTGTTCTCACTGACTGCTTCCATCTTAACGAAATCCACACCTACGCATTGTATTTATATGTCACACAACCCATTGTGATGGTGGCATTGGCACGCCCTACAGAAAAACAGCCTTGGTGATTCTGCTCTGAGCCGGAATTTGTGCCTATGGGGATCAGCAATCAGCATGTGCTCACATCGGAAAAGAAAAAGAAAAGCTCTGAGGTTCCTCAAGGTATTGACAATTCCTCCAGGTCAATTTCTCTTTCAGCTTCCGTTTTCTTAGTGGTCTTGCTTTTTTCGAGCAAGTCAGAAGCTGTCATAGAGAAGTCAGAATTAGAGCCCTCTTTAGAAGACCTGTAAGTCTTATAAAATTATAGGTCTTATGCAAATTATAATTTGTAATTGAAGTCACAAATGTCTGTTGACTGTTGTTACTGTGTTATTTTAGAAACCAGTTTTGTCGTCTAGGCTGTGTTCCTGTGCTTGGTCTCTTGTGTTTAAAATACTGAGTTTTCCCTGGTTTGGATTGCCTTCTTTATATTCAGTGACTCTTTGGTAATGTTTTATAAAAAAATAAAGGATGTAGTATAGGTGGACATGTCAGAATTATTTATATGGTGGCTGTACTAAAGATAGTAACTGAGATATGTAATGAGTGTTTGCTAAGCAGGTCAGGAAATATGCGGCAGGCTTTATACACATTATCTGAGTTAATACCAAAACCCTATTAAGACAGTAGTATTGTTGTTGCTGTTCTTATTTTACATGTGAGGTCTTTTATTCCTACTTTTGAGATCAACAATTATAATGATGTTAAAGCAAGCTTTTCTAAAAGAAGAAACACTTTATAATTTTACAGAACATATTTCCTATTTTGGCATTTCTCCTTCCAGTCTTTGTCCAGATGGTCACAGTAATCAATATATGTACAATTCTGTATTCTACTTTCTTCGTGTCAGTGTAGTCTCATAAGAATTTGGTTTTCTCAGTCATCCTCATTATCACATAATGACTGCATGTGAGTAATTGCCATAATTTATTTAATAATTTCCCTCTTTGGGGACATTAGGTTGTTTCCATTTTCTGTTACAGATAACTACTTCAGTGAAAAGCTTTGTGTGTGTAGCATATTTTATTCTCTTGGAATTTCCTAGGAAAAAGTCCTTTCAAATAGTAAAGAGCTTTTTTGACTCATTTTGACTTTCTGAGTTAGATTATTTTCATAGGAGCAAATAGTGAGCATTATTGAAACATTCATTTTGGAATTATATGAGAAATGTCTATTTTGAAGTTTTTTAGGTATGAACAAATTTTCAGTACTTTAAAGATATAATTTTGAGAGAATATATACCTAATTAATATATAGTCATCACATAAAGCCAAAGTTGTGATTTTTTTGCATTATTAATTTTAAAAGTAGACAGATTGGGCCTTGAGGAGGGTGTGTGCAACAAAAGTATTCATTCTTCATCAACATGTATTTCTTTTTCTTTTTTTCTTTTTTTTTTTAATGAGCACAGCTCATGTCCTAACAGGGCGTTACTAAAGTCACAGCTAAGTCTTTGTCCTTGACGTTGTGTTACAACACACTCTTATATTGTAGCATTTCCAACTTCTTTATGTTTTGGCTTTTATGGAATCTAACTCGTTTCTTAATATCAGCCAGAGATGTGAAGATTGAAGAATATCATATGTACACACACACATACACACTAAGAATCAGTGAAACCATATTTTTCGCATCTCTGTTCTGGTCAAATTGAAGAAACCCTTTTGTCTCCTTAGGATGAAAGTATCTTTCTTTGTAATTTGGGGGATCCCTGAATCATCATATCCTCATTGTTTACATTTTAGAGTGCATCTAAATACATTTACCTTTTCAGCAATCTGCCTAAATAACCCAAGTGCAGGACTTTGGACCCTCTGTTACAGGAACATCTTGTGAAAATAAAATATAAATTTAGGCTACATACCATGACTTATTAATGCAGTGTACTATAATTGCAATTTTCACAGGTAGTGATAACCATTTTGGTCCCTTTAGGGAACCAGATATAAAAAATCCCTATGCAAAAATGAGCTTCAAAATTGCATTTTAACTTTTCACCAAATTCTTTCATCCCAGAAAGACCTACTAATTTCTTGGTGAATATAACTTTATCATATTGTATATTATTTTTTAAACTCTGCAGTGCAGACTTTTTACTTCACTGATGTTTAAACACTTCGATGTGAAAAAATAATTCTTTAGCAAATATTACATTGGTTTAATGGCTTACCAAGCAGATCAAGCTCTTTACTGACCAAGTGAACGTTTCACTTTCAAAGATACTGTCATATTTTTATAGGAATTTTATATGTGTTAACTAATATGCATTTAAATTTCACTAAATTCTCTGTATGTACATTTGTGTATATCTACATATTTCTATATGATTTAAGTAGACTGATTTTTAGGAGGGAAAATTTGTATTAGGATGTAATGATATCTGTCTCTCAATCTAAAGTTGTAGAAGTTATTGTTAGCAGAGATGCCCAAATTAGTTTCTCACATTATTCTATATAAATATGATTTGAACTTTTATGTGAGGGTACGTTACAGAAATTGAAATTTATGAAGTACTCTTCTTGATGAAAAAGGGATGCATGGAGACAACTTCTTAATGTCAGAATACCTGTTCCATGGGTTGACTTAAAGCTATTTGGCGATTAAGCTGGCTCCTCCTGATAATAATTTGCCCATAGACATTACCAAGGTAGCACAAAGAAGGAAAAGAAAATACAAAGGCATGTGAAAATGGAACTCTGGTAGATTTTTTAAAATTCTCCTTATTCTAATATCCCATATCCTTAACATTGAGATTGAAGCCCTCCTTATTTCAACTTTGCACATCCCCTACTGCTTGAACTAAAAACCCTAAGAACTACATGTCTGAGATCTGAATGTATTCTTGGCCCAAATCAATCTTGTCACTTGTCGGAAAGCAATGCAAGATAATAAGTAGTATTCACCTGATTGCTTTCCTGCTTCGAGACAGCTGGTGACGCGTGTCTTCCTGATAACCAGGAGTTTCAGATCTAAGGCAGGGATAAAGGGAAGCCGGGAGCTTGCAGAATCTAAATTTGACAGTCGATGGCTGAGGAGAGGGTCAGAAGGGATAGAATCTGTGACACGTATGAGAAAGGAACAAAATTTATCTGCTCTGGTTGCAATGATTAGATGTCTCTTTGTCTGGCTTTCTTACAGCGGTTGACTGATTGTACCTGCCAGCTGGTTAATATCATAATTAACAAAGTTGCTACTACGTCTGCAAAGTTTAATCGAAAAATTTGCCAGGGATATGATGGCATTGTCACAAAGATCACAAGGGACTCGGAGTCGATTTTTGCTCAAGGTGGAACGGCAAAGCTGTGTAGGCAAAATGAGAAATCTCGAACTTGTTCAGCCAAAGGTAGGTTTCTGTCATAATCCAACCTCTTCAGCTTTCTTATTAAGATTTTTATTTGATGGTGAGTGGGGATTTTTTGTTGTTTTGTGACCAAAATTATTCATAAAAAGATCCATATGCTTCTTGAGCATTAATAGCATATTCTCTGGAAGCTTTGGGTGTTTATCCAAATCTGGAAATTCAGAAATACAGGGAAATAGCTTTTGATATTGAGAATGGAATATAAAGCTATGTTTGCCTATTGTGTCTAGCTAATCTTTATCAGTTTACAGACTAACTCTTTGGTAGCAAATATCAATGTATATTGTGTAGCACTTGGATTTAGTTTGCTCAACAATGTAAAAGCCATTACTCTGCTTTATTCTATTGTGTCAACCTAAAGGAGCAAAAAAAAAAACCACAAGCATAGTTATAGAATATGTAGAGGTTCTATTTCAGTTTCAAGAAATGCTCAGAGTGGGGGGAAAGAGGGCTGAGGTCTTAAAGTGATTAGGGCTTTTTTTTTTTTTAAGAGCACTTATAAAGACCGGTATTTGGCCATTGATTGTTAAACTTGTATTTTCTTTTTACTGTGATTTGCTTTGCTTGATTGAATATTCAAGCTCTGAGGAGTTTCCCAAATGATAGCCTTCACATGTTGCTAATTAATGAATGTGAATATTGATGAGGAGGGGCATGTGTCTCTGTGTATATGCCTGTGCGCTTCCTCTGAGCACAAAGAGAGAGGAAAGCATCTCAAAAATATGCAGAAGGCAAAATTTGGGTTATTTATGCTGTGTCACAGCACCACTATAATGCCAAGGCAATCAATTTGCAGTGTAATTGGGGATATACATTAAGGTTCTTTTACTTTCTCTCCATGGTCATGCAAGCCACTATATCATGGCCAAAAAAAAAAAAAAAAAAGCAATAATTTGTTTTTTGTCTTTTGCTATCTATCTTTTGTGTTAATGGCAGTTTTTAAACATCATGAATAACATTTTGGGAACAAATTAATGCACAGCATGTATATTTTTTAATATGCCCATAAACTTTCTTGTGGGTTTATTCCTAACCATGGGAGACTAGATACTCTGAGTATGCTCATTTTACATTTGACAGTCAAATTTCATTTTCTCAAATTTTAAAAATGAATCCTTTTATGAGATTATACATTTTAAAGCCGTTGAGGGTCCAGATAATTTAAAAAACTATAGAAATTTCGGTTAAAATTTGACTTAGCACATTTGCAGTCTTCACTGAAATTTGATGACGTTGATAAGAAAAACTGAAAGTGGAGGTGTAAATCATTATTTTATTTTATTCTGGACATCATTTTCAGAAAAGAATGTTATTCTCCTGTTAAAGGCGCTCTCTTTTTTTTTTTCCCTTTGACTTCACATCTCTCCCTTCCTACTATCTGGCACCTGATAGGCACTCAACATGTGTTTATCAAGTGAATGAATTAATGAATTTGAGTCCTGCTGCTGCTATTCAAATATGGTTATTTGCTTCCTCTAAATCAATCTTTTTTTTAATGCAGTAAACATTATTGGTAGAAACACATAGATGAATGGCACAATCACAGACAATAGGGAGGATTAAGTTCCTAAAATAATACAATGTTGTTTTAACCTAAACCCCCATAATATTTTGTGTAATTGAGATTTGCTGTTGTAAGAACTCAGCTGGAGTAGCAAAGGCCTATGAGGATTAGAAAGGGCCAGGGAAGTGGTTCACAGCGGATGCACCCGTTCTTTTAAACAGGATTATCTCCTGAGATGTGTAGAAATGAACTCTTGTCAGAGTTTCAAAGGAATTAATATTTTTGGTAAAATGTGCTAATGTAAAGAGTTAGAAGATTAGTGATGCATAATGAAAGCAATGCATTCTTTCACATGGAAATAAGAATATAATAAATGTCCTGCAGGTGATTGGGGCTGTAGCAATTTTATTCACGATTAAAGTTTGATTGACCTTTGTTAGGGTGATTAACCCTTCTGAAATTAAAAGCCAGAGCTGAATTATTCTGGCCAATTTAAATGCAAACATTGAACAGGTCGTGTGTCATTCAAATAATAATAATAAAAAACCCTCCTATTTTAATTTTCGTTTTTGCACGTCTGAATGAGATGCTGCCTTAGAAGGATTATAGCTCAGGCAGAGCGTACTGGTGGCAGAGAGTATAGAATAATGTTCAGATAATTGGGAGCACATGGAAGGGTCCTAGGCATCACTCCCCCCATTCAAAACATCAAAACCACCACCCCAACAAAAGCAGGGAGCCTAAAGGCCATCTCCACATAACTGAAAATGCGTGCTCTCAATAGAAAAAGCTTAGGAATATCCTGAAAAGGTTAGGAATAAATAACAGTGACATCTCTATTCTAATCCAGTACCACTAAACTGCATATTAGATCCACATGAAATCCTGAAAATGGGGGCTTTTGGGTACGGTTGCTTATGAAGCTAATCAGAAAAGTTAATTATTTCTGACGTCTGGAATTTCATTCCCCATGATCTCTGATAACCTATGGATAGAGTCGGTATTTTCAAATACATTGTAAGAGGAACATTCTCTAGTTGTTTACAAAGCCATCTAACGGTGTGGTTTTGTTTTCTTCATTAAATTTTCTTGAAGCCTTGGTGAAAAGTTGCACGTTCACGTTGCTTCCAGAAACTATTTCCATTTTTCATAGCGCATTAAATTTTTTTATTACTAAGTCAGTGAATATTTTTAGTTTTAAGTCCCACCACATAGTGAACACATCTTCTTTTTATGTGTCTGTGGACTATTAAAATGATAATAAAGGTTCTCGTCCTTCCATATGTAATTTATTTCTCTTTCTTTTCATCAAAGAATTTACTCTGAATGTGTCAAGGTAGAAAAGTCCAAAGTATTACAGTGTAAAAATTAAGAAGCCCGAGGTGCTATAGTTTATTTTTGCACAGGCGTTTCATGTACTCTTTTAACATCCTTCTGAAAGACAGGCTTCTACTCCGGGCCTGTGAAGAAAGTCAAAGATGAAAAACTTGTGATGGATTGACAGATTATTCAGCTAGCAAAGTGACTCTGACATCCTCCAGAGAGCTGGATAATACCTTGCAGCATAGATTAATAACGTGTTCAACTAAGATCTGTTTGCTGTGAGGATAATTTCCTAATTCTTAATTGTGGGGCTAGTATTCAACCGTAAAGGGTAAACAAATACTTTCTGTACCTTGCCTGATAAAGTGTAGATAATCAGCTTTAGTTTTGATACATTGAATTGTCAAACTTAAATAAAAAAAACCCAATTGTTCCACAGTAATATTTTTCACTAAAAAAAAACACTGCCGCTAAGTCAAATCTCTAAAATAAACACCACTAATTCTTCAGATACAAGTCGGTGCTATTCTCTAATTTGATAATTCTTGTTTTACCTCTTACCAGAACGAAATGAAAATAATTGGGGGCATTATAATTTATTGTCAATACAGCATTCTTGAGGCATAAAAAGCTAATGTGATAGCATCTTCTCAGCGTTGCCATTAATTGTCAGTAGTCTTTTCCATAAAAGAAAATCATGGCTCGAGAAAGTGAAATTCATATTGTCTTGGGGTAGAAAAAAGAATTAGTGAAAGAGCAAAGACAAATAAGATTATATTTTGTTAAATCCTAAATCCAATCATTTGTTTTGCTTCAGCGTGTTTAGAAGACATTTTTATTTCTTTGTTGCCTTTGTTTCTGGCAATCTGTTCCCCTCTAATCCATCCACTCCCAGACCTAGCATTTTTGCTTATAGTTGTGAAATAACTTTCTTTGCATTAATAAGCCAAAATTAATCCATTTGACATTTTCATGGGCCACATATTTTAGCTGGAATCCTTCTGTTCAAAAAAGCAGATGATTTGAAAAGCAACCAGTTATTTTATTCATTGCGTATTATTTGTGAGTCAACAATTTAATTTAATTCCACAAAATTTACAGTAGGCCTACCACGAGCAATTTTATTGTTCTGGGCTAAAGAGAGAGAACAAGTGGCACACTGGAGGATTTTCAGGGTTTTTAAAATCATTAAATAGTGAAACAATAGTCACGTGTGAATTTTTCAAGATGTTATTCCCTTTAACAGACAACCATTCTAGAATGAAATGAGTTGGTTATGTCAGTCAGATGAACTTGTTTTTGTAATTTGTTTGACAAACAGTATTCTCTAGAGACAATAAATTCTGTATGTTGACTTTCCAGCTAATTGTGAAGGCTAGTTTCCTAGCATTGGTCTTCGGGTGAGTCGGAAAGCTACCTAGGGTAGTGCAGTGGCCTGTGGCCTATTGAAGCATGCTGTGCTATTTGTAATCAAATGATCACACCACCTCTACACGTTCCCTTGGAATCCAGAGAACTGCTTAACATGGCAACTTTAACTAGCATGCCTTCAGCATTACTATTTCTGGAGCCATCACTGACTGACCTGTATCAGTTTCAACAAGTATTTATTGAGGACCTCCTAGGTTCCAAGTACCCCTCAACCCAGTGGGGTGGCTCTAGGAGCCACATTTTATGGACCAGAAACTGAGACTCAGTAGAGAGTGATTTGCCGAAAGTTACACAGCAAGTTAGTGGCACAGCCTGGGCTGGAAGCTGGTGGCGTAATTCAAGGCCTTCGTCACCAGAGCTGTTCCTGCGTCATCTGTAGCCTTCCACTTTGCCACAACTTGCTGATTGTGAGCACAGGATTTTTAGATGGATTTAAGCATTTCCCCCAGACAGAGGAGTCAAATCACAGGAACTGCAATAAAAGAATTAATTCTCTCCTTATTCAGTCCCAAGAAAGTAAGAGATGAGGAGATTTAGAATGACACAGGTTATTCACTGGTGTATCCAGGCAATGGACTTCACTTAGTTGGCTCATTTCATGGAGACCAGAAATTGTCCTTCCCAAATATTAATCAATTAGTTCATTGAAAACCAGTCATTAGTCTCTTTTTATAATTGTCCTTAAAATGTGTGTGCTTACCTATCTTTCATTTAAAATTCTTAA